ACTGAGAGGTACAGCATTTTGACAATAACCTGTTTAAAAACCAATTAAATTCCTCAGATACAAGCTACAAGCTGACTACGTGTGAGCTGGTAATCGTGGTTTTGTTCGCAACACTTGGTAACGGATCCACCTGGATTCCCAGAACTTATTCGACTGGGTTTTACCTTGACTTCCTCGTACAGGAAGATCTCAACCTGGTTTTAGGTGAATTAATGAGCAACTGATTTGTGATATTTGACGGACCTTTTGTTTTTTTTAAAGAGAGGCCAGGCTGGACAGTGGATCTGAATGGCCCACGAGAGGATAGCAAGAAGATGCTATGCCTGAGTGCTTATCTCTGGGGTGTGGCTACCCTGGGAGGGGTTGCCGGAGATATCAAAGTGTATAGTGGAGGATGGTGGCAAATGTTATGAGGGGGGATGAGTCATGAAGGGACGCTTAAGTGCCAGCTGGTTGTGAAACAGCAAGATGAATTAAGACAACTTATGTGAGTAGTAACTATGTCACTCCGGTCTGGTCCTGCTCCTCGGGAACAATTAGGCGTTCGGTGCGGTTTCCGAAAATTACAATAGTGGTGATAATCGTGATATTAATATTATGTTGGTTGTCAAATATGTCATTAACGAAGAAGTAATACTAATACTAATAGTCCTGAAAATATCGCCCCATTATTTGGGCAATAGCCGGAACTGTCCAAGAAAGTGTGAGACAGTCTCCTATTCGTTGCCGCACATAAGACACGCACTGGTGCTTGATTTGCGAATGTGTGGAGGTGCTTGTTCACAATGTCCCGTCAAAACTGATAAGATGCACTGCAGTTTTGTATTTTTGTCTGTTGTAGCTGAGTGTAGTATAGTGTCGAGGTTTTTGATAATTTTGACGTGTTTGGTGTCGAGTGTCATTTTGGTGTGTCTGGGATCATCAGTTAACCAGGTTTCCTGATTCTGTCTGGTTACTTTGTCGTCGATCAGGCGTGTTTAATGTAAGATTGTGGAATTGGACACTTCAAAGTGGATTCGCTGGTTGTGCCAAACCTACCGGCCAGGTCATCTGCTTTTTCATTACCCCACAATCCGATGTGCGCTGCCAACCATAGGATCTCTAGAGTGTTAGTGGATCCGAGTATATTGAGGGAGTCATAGCAGTCTCGAGTAGTTCTAGTTGAAAGCGAGGAGATAGCTTGTGCATTATTTAAGAACCGACCGGATGTTCCGGTTGGTTCCTAGCTGTCAGTCCATAGTTAGTGTCGCATTCTATAATCAGCGGCATTTTGTTATCGATGGCATACTTTGAAAGCGGTACGAGGTTTTTTGCGGTGGTACCAGCCCATGTGTTAGCAGTACTTTCGCGGGAGATAGGCACATTCATTTTCAATGATAGAATTCACAAATTGCTCATTTCCATCTTTGATTCTAAAAAATTTCGTTAAAATCTTCGACTTAATTATGGTGATTAAGGATGCCCATATCCACTATTGGTTCATTAACATGATAGAATAGAGATTCGGCGGAATTACAGGCTGAGCGCGGCCCAGTAACTATTGGTCAGATATAGTTGTATTTTCTCTAACCGAACAATTTACAGGTACGCTTTCTATATCTACGCTACTAATAACGCAAGGATACAGCCCTTATATCATTCATCTACTTCCCCGCTTCAAGAAACTATCACTGCCAAAAAGATGTTTTTTCCTTCTTTTAGGGAACATGGCTTGCTATTTAATCATGTCTCAAGTTGATGTGATGATGAACGTTGACCCAGGTGGCAGTCTGGCTTTGATTGTTATTGGAATAGCTAGAGCAGTGCAGGGATTGTGTGCCGGCTTGTTAACAGTTATCGTACAGGTAATTCTTGAACAATTTTCCTTATTTTACAGATTCCGTTGAGAGATTTTATTTTATTTTTTTGGTAACCATTTTTATTTATTTATTATGAATATACCTATCACTATCAGTTTGAATTACCGTTTTCAAATGCAAAATGATACCGAGAATGAAATCGATCGCTCGCTTTTCCCATTCTTTCACGGCCTGCAAATTGTAATGAGTTTAGGTTTGTTACATTAATCACACTGTGTAGAAATCTCATTTAGTTGCTTTCCTAGCGTACTCTGAGATAAGAGCGGAAGTTCATGTGTCCAATAAGCTGACAAGTTTATCGCATCGTTAGTGCCGAGTACTGTCTTCGGGTGGTGCTCCTGAATGAATCATCCATGCATCAATTGCATTGACGATGAATAAGAAAAGCGAGCGACCGATTTCATTCTTTATAACATTTTGCATTTGAGAACGGTTATTAAAATTGATATTATATTTATTTGTTTGAAAAAAGATGACAATTGGTTCACTCAACCCAATTTTGGGTTTAGACAAAAAATATCATCTCTTCTTGGCTAATTTCAGGGCTCTTTACGAAGTCAAAATGGAAAATTGAGAACTTCTATTGCATATTGATATAATTATAAAGGAATTAATTTCAACGATTTCGAAATTTTAGTTGAACGTTAGTTGAATATGCAGCGGTCGATATCCGTTCAAATGAGGTCCGATAAGGTATGTCCTCTGCTTACAATAGTCAATTTATACTTATAGCCAATACTGCTCGTTAGGCATTAGGGTTCCCGTACTGTAGTGCGACACGTACCCTAGTGCGACACCTTCAAGATCGACACTGCCGCACTAAAGTACGCTACCTGGATCGTAGTGCGACACGTACTGTAGTGCGACAGAGAATTTTCAAGGCCGACACTGTCGCACTACAGTACGCTACCTGGACTGTAATTGTATAACTATACGCGTGTCGCGTACTGCGTGACGCGCTTGTTTCGCACAAGTAAAATATACATATATAATAGTAATACTTCCCGTGCCGCCTTCGGCGGTCGCGCGCTACTGGTACTGCCAGCGAAAGGGCTCTGGTTAGACTTAGAGCAAGACGTGAACCGACCCGACGAATCACTTAATGGTCCATTATAAGAAGGATAAGATGTAACCTGAACTTGGAAATAAAACAGAATATTTTGTCGCACTAGAGTACGCTACCTGGATCGTAGTGCGACACGTACTGAGGGTGTGCGATAGAGGGTGTTTTTGTCGGACTTCGCACTAGAGTACGTGTCGCACTAAAGTGTAAAGTACGTGTCGCACTACAGTACGATTACCGCAGTACGATTGCCGCTCGTTCACTCATCGGAATGTGTGAACCGTGAGGTTGTACAATCAAATTACTTAAACCAGTCTTGAAACTGTGTTTCACTGTTTGAAATATATCTATTGCCAAAATTTTCGAATATGTCTCGCCTACGGCGAACTGTACGCGATTGCTATCCTTCTGCTAATGAATATTTGATGCAGCTTTCGGTTGACGATTATTCTGCCATAATCTGAACTTTTTACAGGCATGGTTGACACTGCATGTTTCGCCCCGACTCCTATTTGCACAAATTTGTATGTTGCCTTCACATACAACTTTTTTAAAAGAATGTCATGTGTTTGAAAGGCATGTCATGTTGAAATTCAAATCCATGATTACATTTACAGGGGGAAATAGTGGATCTTTACCTAGCAGACAAGAAGTTCCTGATGGTAGTGATCAGCAGTGCGATGCACTTCTTTGGATTGATTACCTTCGTGGTTGGGACAGAGCTTTACATCCAAGGAAAGTGGCTCTTAACAGGACTCCTCATACCCGCATTCGATATAGTCCCTCTGTTCTTCCTGCCCTTTATTAGTAAGGTGCAGAAGAGAACAAGTGCAAGTGACGACTATGGAGTGCAAGTGACAGCTTCCAACTTTCCTGCCGATAAGAACTCGAATTCGGTTAATGAATCATCAGTTGTTGACACAAAAAAGAAAGAAGCAACTCCGTTGCAGAATATCGCGTTCTTCATCCCAGACCTAACAGTTTTCATAGCAAACGTAACGTTCATTCTCTTGATTTTCTCTCTTCCAGTCAGACTAAAAGAGTACACTGGCAAGTCTCTGAGGACAGCAGTACTTTTCAGTACTCTTATTCCTATATTCGCCCTTTTTTCCAGCCTCGTTGTTAGTTTTATCACAGGTCGTAATCTTCCCGCTTTGCTAGTCATGCTAGTAGGTACCGTGGTTTTTTACACCGGGGCTATAATAACGTTTGGATCCACCACAGAGTTCTTGGCATTCCCAGGTTTATATGAGCTAGGATCTGTGTTAGTTGGACTTGGGGACGCCCCCGTTATAAACCTGGCTGTGATGAGCAAGTTTGAGCTGTATAAGAATTGGGGTCTTGACACAAAAGGGCTGGGAGAAAGGAGCAGCAAGGTTCTTAATATCAGTTTATGTTTCTCGCAAGTTGTTGGAACTGTGATGTCGGGTCTGACCATCAGTAGGAGTAGCGAGGTGCCCACGCTGGTGGGGGCGGGAACTGCTGGAATGTTTAATGTTATAGTTCTGCTAGTCTGTCTTCTTGTCAAATAATGTGGTTTTCCTGATCCAGTTATCACAAACTCCAGGGAAAACAGAACTCCAGAGCTTATAATACTAAAAGTAAAACGGGAAAACAGGACAGCTATAGTGAAATGCTTCCTCATTAAACTATCATCCGCAACTATCATCCGCATCGAGGATCCTGTCCGTGATAGTGATCGATGCCTATTTCAGTATTTAGTATCATGATGTGATGATGAGAGCAACCAAAGCTCAGACATATATATGTATTATAAAGGCTAAGTCCCCGACCCTCGAGGGTGAGGTGGAGACTTCGAAATCGGGATAGAAAACTTATAAATCTCGGAAATATTTTTACAGTATTGTTTCAATTTAAATTTTTAAATGGCATAAAATGGAGACTTTTTCTATGGAGAAAATGGAAAAACTCTCGAGTAATTCTCCATTTTATGCCATTGGCCCCTCCCCCCCTGTATGAGCATGAAAGCGCATGTGTATCTAAAAGTTTCTGACCTTTTATATACCGGACATTTTTGTCTCCAGAAAAACTATACAGAGCAAAAGTAAACGAATTGATACATTTTTAGAATTTTATTTCAAACTTTTCTAATCATCTACATTCTACATTCTACACGTACCGTAATATCCAGTATTACAAACAAAACAAAAATATTAACAACATAAAATTCGTAACTATTACCAAATAACCTTATCAGAAAGGCCAACACCTCACGCTGCACTAAAATTAGTCAATAAAGTTTAGACAACTTAATGTTCTGACTTACTCAGTTACAAGTTGCAAGTGAGTAACAGAATTAGTTACCATGATTATTAGGTAAACCATATTACCAATAACGGGAGAACTATAATTGACGAACAATATAATCGTACGTTTGAATTGTATGCCACCAAAATGGTAAATGTAAAGCTAAAAAACTAACTAGCACTAGCTCCCTGACACTATGTTTATTGAGGAGTTTTAAATCATATGCTAGATTAAAAGTATTGTGTGCAGAGGCTTACATACACAATTCACATTAATTTAGCATGACAAAACTTAAAAGGAAATGCAGAAAAAGTTCTTCCTCATTGATCATATGACAATCCTCTCGACTAAAATAAAAGCAACTTAAACAATTCAATTTCTATTCGACAGCCTCAAGAACTGGACTGTTAGACAAGAGTTTCTCTTTGAGAAGCTCAGTATACGCCGCTTTATGACTGTTGAACTCCATAATGGTAGCAGGTTTTCTGTCCTGGTAAAATTTAACGAAGTCGGAGAGGATGGAGCAATAAGCTTCGTGGAGATCCTTTATGGTTAGACACCTGGAACCACCGTGACAACACTTGTAGTAGAAATGATTCCTGAGAATTGGGATTGTTATTGTATTTACTTTTCCATAAAAATTGATCTGTTAAATGTTTATTAGTAAATCAAAATATTCAACAAGAATTGCGCCCGTTGTTTCGTTTTGGCGGACGCTAGATTTCCATTTCACATTTACTATAAATTTAAGTATAAGCTCCAATCAGCTCACTTCATGATAATAATATTGATAAATTATGCATTAAGTACAGGAAACACTTGAAATTTAGTTCAATTGCCAAAGAACTTAACTTGTAAAGCAAATAACTTAAATTGTAAGCAAAGGTAAACTATACTCGTGTACACATCAATACACTACGCGTGCCACGTACAAATTGGGCTTATAACCTAATATTATACATTACATCGTATACATTAAAACACTGTTGCGCCGCGCATTCATAGATCACAGGCTATCTATACATCACATCTCCGCAAGCAATCCTCTCGCACGCGCGCGGCTTTTCCGTTGACATGGTTACTAACGGAAGTAAGGAAGGACTGACGACATATTCAGACCCACCTACGGCAATCTCCAAAATCCACGTTTTTCTGCAAAAACCTCCATTCGTAACCTTTCACAAAAATGCTAAATAAAGCTGTAAAGCTTTATTTCAAGACAATTTTGAATTCTGCTAAACAGTATCGTACAATTTAAAAGTCTAACATTAAACGCGTAGAACAAGGCATTAAACATGTCACCTAAGAAGACCAGATTCAAGCATCTGCATCAGGACTGCAGTCAGATTTATTGAGGTGATAGCGAGAGAGAATCCGTAGTTAGGGTGGTTTGAAGCTAAGAGCAGCTGCGCGCCAGTTTTCTTGTATTTCGCCAGATAGTGCAAATTTTGCAGGCCTAGAATCCCCATTCCTGAGATGGATTACGTGAGGGTAAAATACAGCTAAGAGTCTTTAAAAAAGTGTTATCTGTGCCTAGTGTTACCTTTGCAATTCGCTATATCTTAACTTTTTAAGAAAGAAAAAACATTAAAAACATGTAAATTTGGTATGAACTAAAACGCAGCTAGTATTCTAGATACAGACCTCTGAAGTCAGTGGCAGGATCCATTCCCTGGAACCCTATATCCCCCCAATCGTCCGAGATTCTGTCTTCCAACTCTCTGTCGGGCTTTAAACTGTTCCATAAGCTGAGCAACATCATCTCGTGCTCTTCATTATCTGTATCGTACGCTGTCCTGTGGAGAGCAACTTGTGAAGGACAAACATGTTTATTTCTTTAGAGAAAGATACCAATAAAATATCAGGTTGTTCAGGATAGGAACATTTAAACATTTCATAATTTGTTTAGAAAGGACATCTGAGGTAAATAAAATTTATAATGCTAGAAAAATGTGGATAAAAAGTAATAACTTATTACACTGAACCCTCAACCGTGATACATTACATATTAATTATGGCAAGGATTTGTATCCCTCATAATTATAATACACATGCTCAGCGAGCTTTTCTCTGCAGTCTCTCTCACAGTAATTTACTAATATAAGATAAGATAGTTTTATAAAGGGACAGGTGCGTAAAATAAAGTTAGTACAGCTCAACTACTCATTTGCTCAACTTATCTTTAAATATAGCCGCACTAACTGATCAACCTCACCAGATGCCTCTGGACCCTGTCTATAATTCTCATTTTCGCACTCTCACCTCTTTCTTTCCACTAATATTAATTAACACGAGTCACACCTGCCTTCTTAGTTAGAACGATTGGTAAAGCTGATAATTTCGATTAGCGGTATGTCTTACAAAATGATCTGCCAGCGCTCGCCAGCTGCCGTCTCAGTTCAGAGTAAGACCATTTCATGAATTATTAGCAGTGTGTTTGTTATCGCTCACCAAACTTTGCATCTTGAAGATTGAAACTACCATACCAGGCACCCTGATTACTGTTTAGACAAGTCACACAATATTTAATTCAGTTTAATAATAGTTTCGAGCTTATAACAACAAAATGAAGAAGGTGTCTCCTGCAATGTTGACAGTTGTTCTGATGATGATTGCAGTCTCCAGGTAGTTCACTTTTAGAATTATTTTACAGATTCAAATTTAGTGACTCTGATTTTGATCTTGATTTAGATAGTCAGATTTTTTATTTTGAATAATTTTTATATTTTGAATTGTTTTCACAGGGCATCAATTGATCCTGAAACTACATCGAAAGTTCTGGAAGCTTATCTGTGCACCGGTGATCCTAATTGGCCTCTTACCCTCTCCGAAACGGACGGAAGGACGGACGGACACATCTTCAGGGTGTCAGTGATCATATCACACTTTCTGATATGTAATCAGATCAGGGACTTTCCAGACAACCAAGAATACAGAAATGGTATGTTGAATGCGATTATGAGTGCAACCCCACAATTGCTATCAGCCATGGATACAAAAACTGAGAGATGTTTGGAAAGCAAGGCAGGATGTCAGATCTATGAACACTTTTGTGGAACAAACAATGTATGGAATCTAAAGAATACCTTGCTGTTTATTCAATTCAGTCTAGAAAATACGCAAGATGAATTTCTGGCTCGGGTATCGAATGCTGCGACTTACATGCTCGGCAAAAATAATTTGGAAACTTTGTTATCCAGAATGAGCACTTTTTGTCCAGAAAAATCTAAATATTGCGGCCCTCCAGCCAGAGGGAGAAGAGAGACCTTTGTAGAGAATAACGTTCAGAAATATCTAGATTCAAAGGACGAGCATCTGAGACAGAAACGTTTTTTTGATCACTCACAAATCATAAAATTGTTCAACAAGGTGATCTGCAGTGAGAATATGGTGGTCTCTCTAGCCGGATACTGGGATACACACTATGTTAAAGTCAGCTACAGTAGAGTTTGGATAATGGGGGTCGTGTCAGATTTTTGGTGCTGTCTTGTCCACAATTTAAGTGAATTTTAGTGGATGGACCGGAATTTCTGCTTAGTCCTATTCCTGTGTAAATCGGTGTATTCTCGGTGTTTTAACTTTTACGCCAACAAAATAAAACCTAGAGTATTCTTATCAACCAAGATGCTAAAAATATGACTGAAACCAAAACCGCAAAACGCTAAGATAATAAATTGTGTTTAAACCATTATAACAACATTATACATTATAAATTATACATTATACATTATACATGCATATGAACTAGCCATCAATTGAATGGGGCTGGGTAATATTTTACGGGCCAAAAAAACGGTCCCGAACGACCTTCGATGGTATTAACTAGTTTTTGGTTATCGGTATTTTAAGTCAATATAATGAATAAAAGTTGTAACATGTTCTGTTACCTTTTCAAAGTCGTAGCCTCTTTGGTTAGTTTGTTTATCTCGCACATCGGATGGAAAGTTGTGTCTATTCTTGCAATAAACTCCGGGTCTTTTGAAGGAACAATCTCCTTTGCGTTAATTATAGCAGCCGATAATTCAGAAACATTTGTATAGTTTCTGAAATTCTGAAAGTTGTTGCATTACATGGATTAGTATGTTTCAAGTGAAAGTTTAGTGTACAACAATTTCGAAACTTCGAAAAAAGTCTTAATAGGCGACCCTTAATCCTTATTCCAAGGACAATCCTTCAACATTTCGCGACAATTCATAGCAGTGAATGGTGATAAAACTTTATTTATTGTTATTAGAAATGAAATGTTTAATTCTCCGGGGATTGTGTAGGTTTCAATACCCGAGTAGATGGCATGCAAACCCCGTAATTTAATATACCAGTACGTATATATATACGCGACGCATGCGCGCGCGAAATAAACATACGTGATGCGCTGATTTCTCTACAAATCTTACTTTCGCGCAATACTGCTAGCCGGGCCAGAAGACGTTTCCCTGAATTTTGTAGTTTAGCCAGGGACCACCTCATCAAGTTGCTAATATTCATATTTCATATTAAATATATATCTGTATATTGTGAAATGTGACCACCTCATAATTATAAATTGTCAAAACTTTTTCTTTAGACTAAAGTGTACAGCTCTTCAGGCGATAGCGAAACATATAGAAAAATATAGCTTTTATAAAATCTCTCTTTCTCCCCTAACTTATGAAATACATTTTAGTCGAGCGGATGCATCCCAGAAATCAGGGGAAGCAGCCGAAGGCTTCAAGTCCAATAATACCTTCTTTCAGACTTCGTTTTTAGACTTAACTGTAGTATAGAGGATAATGATCGTTTTTAAAAGCTTCGGTAAGCTAAAATTTCACGCAAAATTGTCTACGCGCCAATAATTATGTCATCCTGCTGTACGCAAGGATTGGCACCATCATGAGCAGACTGAATGTCTGAATTTGATTTTTTTAAGTGGGAGAAAATAAAATTACCTGTAATTCTTGATGATTAGAATTAACTAGGCATTCTTCAATTCGTCGCATTTTATCTAGACCTTTGTAAGACGATGAAATTCGTTGTATTTTGTGTGTTCCAGATATCCTCCAACTTAGCCAATCCAGGAACTTACCTGCAGGTACGAAATTTAGAAAATAGATTTCCTAGAAATCAATTTTCCAGAATTTTCATTCTGAGAACAACTTAGATCACATGAGCTAATCCAGATACAGATTAACTCAGAAGATGTGTACAAATTAAAACAGATGAAATCAATCACATGCTTCTCATGGTCAACTAATGCCGAACACTTATATCAAAATATTTGACGCTTGTGAAAACAAAATGGGTTAACTCAACATTTTTCAGTGAAATATTTCAAGAACAGTACCAGCAACATTACAGGTATGAGATTTAGTTTTCTGATGAACGAGGATCAGTTATTTATTTGGTATTTTGTCACATCAGGGGTGTAGGAATGATTTTCTTAATAAACTCTGTAAATGTAATCTTAACAGGAGCTGATTGAGACAATTGATCACTACAATTTGCTGCTAAGGAACGAGATAGAGAATAAGTTGCGGCGTGATTCTGTAAAGAATCCCTGCACAGTTTTAACAATCCTACTCCTTATTCACTTAACCCGGTTTGGTTTGTTGAGTGATACTTCGACTTTGTCAAACATGTCCGGCATTATGACCAGGTGGCCAACAAATGGATTCATAATTCAGGGAAAACAATAACCACGCAGGTTTGCGGGCTTGTTGGTGCACGTATAATGTATATTCAGCTCATCTGTGGATTGGATTTGTTACGATCATTTTACAATTTTCTCCGTCAAATATTTCTGCAATTGAATATTAATAATTTGAGTATTATGAAATGGGATGGAAATTTAACCAGGTCTAGCTAGTCCACACTCTAGCTCCATAATAGGAAGAATCTGTTTCCATTCTAGATAAGAAGCTCCAATACAGTCTATGTTTTGCAGTGGCGTAACCAACCGCTGTCAAATAGCGACCATATTGTTCAATTTTAACCTGGGTTACATGAACGGGTTATAAAAGTTTAGTTTTTTAAACCATTCTTTAAACACTCACTCAAGCTTACTTTAATAGTCTGGGGCATCTAAATTACTACAATATAGGTTACTAGAACACGAAGTTATCACGTGTTGCTAAGACACGCGGTTACCATGTTTATTAGGACACGAGGTTGTCATGTAGTACCCGGTACCGGTGGAGATAATATTCTGAAATAATGGCATATTTTTCAAAATAGTTTGTATAAGATAATACAAAATAGCGAATTTCTCGAGAATTAAACCAAACTGTTTATCCCTGTTTATGCTCCTTATAATCCTTTGCTGCTTATTCAAAATAATTTATTTTTATTTTTTCGTTTTCTCAACAATTGGTAGACGTGTTCAATCCTATAAGATAATAGAAACCCTTAGCATTTCATTCCACGGCTTGCATTTCCCGTTTTACATTTCCTGTTTCCTGTGAAATAACCAGTACCGTGTAACTGTGCAGTGTCACGCCACTGACTTCACTGCAAGTGCGTGGCTGATAATTATCAGTAAACTGTATCTGAAAACAAGCCGTATCTTCCAGGAAAGGAGGAAAACGATAGCTTATTAGCTGTGATAATACGATTCCTAATTCTATTACAGTGTTTATCACCTCAGTGAAATTGTATCTCCTTTCGTTACAGCACCGTTTCCTAGAAGCTGATATCGATTTTTGTTTTGTTTTTCGACTTCACTGCGTTTTTTATTTCTTAACATTCTCCTCCTTCTCTGGACTTCAAATGGCCATCCTTCAATGGCCAGGGCCTTCTAGAGCCTAGTACCTACCTCGGTACCTTGTGTACCTACCCCGGTACCTTGTGTACCTAGGTTTACATTTTTAATCCTAGCGTGCTACTGTCCGTGACCAGGCGATATATACGTATCGTGTAGGGTTACAATAAATTGCAAGGTCTAGATTCGATTGAAGGATTACAGGAGACAAAACCCGGATATCTTAATTATTAATCAATTCTTTTAAATACCTCTGTCAATAAAAATAAAAAACATTTTATCGTTCTCGTCTTCACTTCTGTATTCAATCCTTTACTCTCGTTCTATGAAGTAGGAGAAGACACTTCAACCCGGAAATATGGTTCGGTTTATGACTGTAGTTTTCATCTTAGCGACTGTTTATCGCAGCTATTCGAAAAGGTTCCTGCACTCCTCTTTTTTATGCGAAATGAATTTTAACTAGCAAATTTAATTTTAAACTGGCCTCCCCGAAAATATTAAAATTTCATGTTCACAACTACTTCATGCATTCTTATACTCTTTTGCATGCTACTCTTTGTTAAATTATGGTAAAATATTAACTCCAAACAGATCAACAGATGCTCTCAACACGACTAATTCCAGGATACCTCTAATAATACTGGGAGTTGATGGGTACGCATACCAGGCATACGAGAAGTTCAAGAACAAAACTGATGAAAATTTCTTAGCGTTTCCCATCAAGCCAGTCTTTCCCTCTGCAACCTTCCCTAACTTTCTCTCTATCGCAACGGTATAATTACATGACCTTTAAAAACTTTCGAGATCATCCCTTGGGCAAAACATCAAATACATAAAATAATCAACTGATAATTGAATTGCTCAAACTACGTTTGACACATAACAAACTGCATAGTTTCAATTATTTTGATACTTAATGTGTGTTTACCCTCATATCAGGGATTGTATCCGACACAACACGGCATTATAAACAACAAATTCCTTAACAAAGACAAAAACGCAACATTTCTCTTTAACAACTTACAACACGATCAGTTTGATTGGTTCAGGGGAGAACCGGTGAGTTTCATTGTGCTTCTTTTAAATGTACAATATCCGCGCTGATATCGACTATTTATTTAATTTTATCAGTAAAAATCAAACTGTAATATTAATAACAGTTAAAAGTCTAAAAATTAAACTTCTTCCGGATGTAGCGCTAAATGAGGTGATTGATAAATCATACCCCTCTTCACATCAATAAGATTACAGCACAATATCAACCTGTTAACTTCTTATACTACCATATATGGGCATCACATGATTACAGCATTTAAATACAGATTTGGATAACGGCTAAGAAGTCAGGACTGCGAGTCTATACGGATATGTGGATTGGAGCATCTGCTTCGTATAGCGGTATAAAACCGGACTTTTACTCTTTGTTTAACCCTACCAAAACATTCCAACAGAAAACTAAAGACCTTATTTCAAATATAGACGATGAAAAAACAAGGTAATAGCATGACGTGATCTGATCAATACAGAGATTTGCAATAAAAAGTTCCTTAAACTACAAAGTGAATTAACATAATTAGATTTAATTCAAATGTTTAATTTTATTAGGTGTGACCTATATATGGTGTACTCTAACGAACCAGACAGGTCGTTACATGTTACAAGGTTGAGTGACAGAGCCGAGGTAGAGAGAATTCACAATATGGTGGAGGAACAGATATCACAACTCTTATCTTCTTTGGGTTAGAATATCATTAATACTTCTTGATACTGTTGTTATCTGTTAATTCCTTAATTGTATGGTATTTTGTTGGCACAAACCTTGCAGGCTGCAGCTTCACCTTAAATGCCAAATATTTGTGCGACAAAATAGCCAATACATACCAAGATATTGTTAACAACCTGGCAAAAGTTCCAAATCACAAATAAGATGAATTTAAGAGTTACCTAAACTAAATTATATATAATCCAATATGGTTTATTCGCAAATAATTACAATAACAACATCAGGAGACAGAGATTACAATATAATTGTAGTATCAGATCACGGGATGGCTAGTTTTGAGGAGAGATTCTCGCTGAGTAAGGAGCTGGAGGATCGTGCTCAACTCTTCATTGGAGGTAGGCTTCGTGTCTAACATTGTACTTTTAAGCATACAAATGAACCTAATTTACAAAATTATGAACTTTTAGACAATCTTAAAACGTAGCTTCAAGTTATTGAAAATGCTTGATTTAAACGGAAACCCAAAATAATAATACGGACAAAGAGCTCAGTTGAATTTTCAAATGTGTAGCTTTATGGGGTGAGACTGGTAAACTGTTACCAGGTCCGTTTGGAATGTGGTACATAAGGGAGGGAGACGAGATTGAGAATGTTGTTGAGGATCTAAATGAATATCTTGTTGATAACGGAATGGAGGGTGTTGTAGCTACCGACACCGCCTCCCTCCCGAGCAGGTACATTACATGTCATCAACACAATCTCATACTTTCATAAGGATGGCATGGATATAACCAATATTATTTCTAGGAGGAGCTTGCAAAATGCTAGCCTTGTCTTATGCTGATCATATTTCGGTCATTTCGTATGCCACTTCTTGTTTCATAGAAGCCAATTTAATTCCAACAAACAATCCCTCTACAGGTTCAACTTGTGCGGGCTCGAAAAAGAGGGGTTGCCGGAGATTGTTCTGATGGTGGATAATGAGGCCATGGTACAGAACCAGTACCCATCTCATTTTAAAAGTGGACATGGGTGCGGTATAATATCATGTAATCTACGTGTTTGAAAAATAACAGTTCAAGAATCAAAATTTGTCATTTTAAAGACGCAAAATTATGCTTAATTAAAGTATTAGAATTACACTAGAACGATAATGGTTTGACCTGTAAACAGGTACGATAACGAGCTGCCTGAAATGCAAGGTCACGTGAGAGTACACGGTCCGGGGTTTAACGAGAAGGCTAAAACTGGTCACATGACCGACCACGTGGTTATGAACACAGAACTTTACAACCTCTTCTGCTCCCTACTTCGTGAGTTGCTTTCTAATTTTAGCTGATCATCTCTTTGTGATTCATCTAAAATAAATTTCCTTACATAATATGCCATATATCATGTATGATGGGAAACTGGAAAGCGTCAAATATTTTGTAATATTAGTTGGCGAGAAAAAAACCCCACAATTGCCTCTCCAATAGACTAAAAACTAGTAGCTTAGTAGGGTACTCAGTATTCTGACATACTAAAATCTTATTTCTTATTTCATTCTCACCGATCAATAATCCCGGTCAGGAATACACCCAGCAGACAATACAGGCAACCTGAAAACCTTTGACTTCCTGTTAGTGGAACCTCCAAACTGGGAGCTCTCCTACACCCAGCTCTCTGAACCTTGCAGTAAAGGTAGACACAACTCGGGAAATATTGCGACTATCTGTGTTACTGTTCTTTTATTACACATATTTCTTAGTCAACTATCAGTTTAAGTAATGTGTGTGTAGTTGCATGAAGTTGTAGTTGTTGATTTAGTTTGAGTTTATTTATGGTAGATAAAGATGACAATCAGTTGAAAAGAGAGAAGGTATAAAATGGAAGACTTACTGTTATTTTGAGTAAAAAAATGGATCAGTGAAGCTGCTAACACAAGAAATGGAACCTCCAGTTCTCTAAGATCCTTATACCGGGACTAAGAAGATAGTTTAACATCTTGGAACACTCTTTTTTGATCTGAGATCTTGAAAAAGATCATTGCAATCGTAACTAGTTCAATCCCTTAGAAGGGCAACAAGATGATTTACGGAAGGACGACTCACAATCTATATGTGACGGTGAGAGAAATGAAAGCTAACAAACATCTCTGTGAACTGTGCGCTTGTAACTACGAACTGACAGAGTAGACAGCAAATATTTTATCATTTGAGATGAGAGATAAACAAACAACATATAATATAGTATTTATTTACAGTAGTGAATAATATGTGCATGCATAATAATTCAAGGTAACAAGGTCCGAAGTGCTTCCAACGTGACGTATAAGTTGAAATTATCTCCTTGCCGTGACCTTGTATGTTCTTTTGACTGTTTTCTTTTTTATTTATTAAAAATTGTATTTTCGATGCTTGATTCTTACAAAACTTAATTAACTTTGTCTATCTATTCTTTGAATCAATCATAGACCAAGTGAAATCATTAATTTATTTTGAAAATTTGATTTTTTTATGTAACTTATGACAGTTTTTTCCTGAGAGCAATCATAAAAAGTGGAAAAAAGATTATTATTGTTATCATTTCAAAATGTATACCAATAAAATTCAAATTGAGCGGGAGATGATCCCAGAAAATAAGAAATGAGATTAAAATTCCAACATACCTGCTGACTCCCCTGAAACAGGAGCCAATGTTTCTCTCAACATGTCCAGCAAGGACACAATCAGTCTTATCAGCCATCCAAACATGCCTGCTGGAGAATTATTAGTTATATAAAGTTATAGATAAATTGGTAGTTATAAAGTTATGAATAGATAATTAGTTATAAGTAGTTATAAATAAATAAGTAGTTATCTCTACTATAATTCAAAGAATTATTTCTGATGTTGTATGTACGACCGCCCACGTGCAAATTCGGCAAAAAGCAAAAGGTTGAAAAGTAACCATGGTAACGGTTTCGTTACACGCACGTGCACGTGCAATGATTGTTTTAACGTCATTTTTATCGGTTTTGTGGTAATTACGTTGTGTTCAGTACGAGCTACATTTTAATCGGCTGTATCTTCGGTTGTGTAGGATATTTTGACGCGATTTAAACTCATTATGATTAACAAAAAATACTATTAGTTTCCTCCCTGTGACCACGGGTTTTCTAGTCTCTACTATAATTCAAAGAATTATTTCTATATGTACTGTACGACCGCCCACGTGCAAATCAAACGAAAAATAGGAATTTAGGTAACAACCAAAACGTTCCATAGCAACGGTGTTTTAATGCACACATGCACGTACAAAGATTGTTTTAACGTCGGTTTTGTGGTAATTACGTTGTGTCTAAAGTGTTTTATATTTAAATCGGCTGTATCTTCGGTTGGGATGGATATCAGTAAACGACCGGGGGTAGGATTTGGCCGGGGCCGGGAATGTCCAAATTTTGCCGGGGCCGGGAATTGGCCGTTCTGGAATTTGGCCGGGGCCGGGGCCATTAAATTCACGGCCAAGTTACAACTTTTCAGGACTTAGGATCTGAACTTATTTTTACATGACAATATAATGTTGAAAATCCATTTTTTGAAAATCCATTTTAAGATTTATATGAAAGTTTTAGGCCGATTTCGATCAAAAATTCCCGGCCAAATTCCCGGCAAAAAAATTGAAAATCGGCCGGGGCCGGGAAGAAATAGCTCCCCCGGTGCCGAGATTTCACGGCGCCGGGAATCCCGGTCGATTACTGATGACCACGGGTTTTCTAGTCTCTACTATAATTCAAAGAATTATTTCTGTATGCTGTACGACCGCCCACGTGCAAATAAGATGAGAAATAGGTAGTTGCAAAGTAAGCATGGTAACGAGGGTTATTACACGCACGTGTACGTGCAATGATTGTTTTAACGTAATTTTGATCCGTTTTGTTGATATTACACTGTGTTTAGTACGAAAAATATTTTAATTGGCTGTATCTTCGGTAGTGTAGGATAATTTTTGACGAGATTTAAACTTACTAACAACAAATACTATTAGCGTCCTCCCTGTGACCACGGGTTTTCTAGTAAAGTTATAAATAAATTAGTAGTTAAATAGATAAATTGGTAGTTATTAAGTTATGAATAAATAATTAGTTATAAGTTATAAATAAATTAGTGGTTATAACTATTATAAGTAGTTTCAAGTTATTGGCTGTTGTCAAACAAATGTGCGGCTTAAACATAATGACAGACAAATGTGGAAACTGTGCAGTAAATTATGCGATTCCGCAACAGCCGCAACCAAATGGTGATTCTGTGTGTAATAGCACTATTACCACATAGCTGGGTAAGAGGTGTCGGAAATAAATGTAATCGTCCCGTGCACGTGACAGCCGTGATCCCCTACATTATGTGCCATCAAGTAGAATAAAAACTTGGTTTTACTATTTACTCTTTATCCGTCATGTTATACTTATGATGAGCAGAATTTGTCTACTTTGTCGAAAAAATTAATTGTATGATGCAAAGTTCCAATCGACAATGGCCTTGTAAGTCTGAAGATAACAGACTGAAGCAGTACATTCAAATGCTTCAGTTTTATTAATATTATTTATGGGGCGATAACCTGCAAAAAACCGTTTTTTAGAAAAATAAAACAGCTTTTTTCAAATCAACTAAATCAAAGCATTAATCATTAATCATAACAAGAAATTCTGAAACAACATACTTAACTGCATACACATGAATTTGTGATCAAGACCCGATAAAAGGAGTTGCTACTAGTAAACCCTAGAGGCTAGAAGATAAAATCACATTCATTATATTTGATGTAATTTCACCACGCACTAATAGTACTATAACTACTACTACTAATTTACAACTATATTAATTTGATATAAAAGTAATAAAAAGTACAAAATGTAGTAACATTCTCAAAACGATAGCATTCGGAAATCTCCACAGCCATATAAACATAGAACTGTACTAAAAAGTAAAAATTGAGTAGCCCAAACCGATGTACAAAAAATATAAGGGTCACTATTTGTTCCCAGAAAGTCCCATATAAAATAATTCAATATAAAACTTTACTTAAAAGACACCAGGTATCATCTTATAGGGCACTTGTTTACAGTAGGTGTCCCAGAAGGAGGTGTACTTGGCACCGCACTTCTCGTCATCACGGAACGTACGATGAGTCAGGAGAATGAACAGGAAGATAACGTAGGAGTATGGCATGATGTTCTCAAATCCAGCTGGAACAGTCCAGAAGAAGGCCAGAAGCAGTTCGGGAACGTAGTGGAAGTGTCGGGCAACACCCCACCATCCAGATGCCAGCAGGATACTCTCCCGCTTCTCCCCAGATTCCAGCACATACTTCGCTCGGATAACCTTGGCTGGCTTGCCCCAGATCAGGGACTTCCCATCAGAATCTCTGATATCTTGCTTTTGTTTGTCAGCCAGGAAGTTGATAGCTATTGACACCACACCCAGGAACAGGATAATTGCAGAAAGGGTACCCCCTAGATGAACTGGCTTGTTGACAAGGTAAAGGCTGACTGATGTGTAGAAGCCAGTGATGTAGACCAAGCAGCCCCAGCAGATGTAGTACCCGGCTCTATCTACCATGATGTCAATGGTCCTCATGTAACCAGCCTCCCACCAGAAGAACTTAGTGAAATACACCATCTGCAGGACACACGACACCCACATACTGTCCACAAAACCATGTAACTCATAGCTTTTCAGTGCAAAGATAAGACACAGTAACGGCCAGATCGTCATGCCAAATCTACAGTTAGTAAAGACCTTCACATCAAGTCCAAACACTCGTGGATAAAGTTCCGTGCCCCAGTAAAAATCAAAGAGTAGGTTACCCGAACTGCCATGGTCACTGGAAGAGGGGAAGAAGTATCCCTTAAACTGGAGGACAGCGCAGAAGACCAAACTAAAGAGGGTCAGGGTGACCAGGACCTCATCAAATCTATCATACACAATTGTGGGGGTCAAACCAATCCCCTTCAAGTAGACAGTCAGACCGATAAACGAGATTATGGTCACGAGAAAGCACAGAAAGCCATTGTCCTTATACACTGGAACATTACCCTTGGGAGTGACAGGGCCTTCTGATCGGGGGCCAGGCAATGTTGCTTGGAGAAAGAGAGCAAAGAGCATGTACCCAAATATAGCGTATAGAACGACAGGTGTACCTAGAGTTACGTTACTCCAGATATCTGCAACCCCAGTCACCACTCCCTTCTCAAGGATCCTCCGGGCCAGTTCAGTGAAACTTCCATCACAGTGCGCGGCTGCATACCACATGAACATGACCATGTTAGGAGAGTAGATCATCAGCATCACCGGACCCACCGTCCGGTTTATAGCGGAGAGGATTCCACTCATACCTATCCTGGGTGAGATATAATTAGTAAGATACATTCACAAATATGTTGTGACCTCAACAAGCTCCGTGCATAAATTATTTTGGTAATAAGGATTCCACAGACACTACAATATTGTGTACAATATCCCACAATATGTAATACATTTTCATACAACATTATGGTAATACGCAGTGACAACTTGAACCCAAGAAATGTGCAGTATGTCAAACTTCCTACTTTGCAAGTCATCTGACTTGCCCCCTTTTTTTGCGTAGATAAGATAAGAAGTCGTGCGGAGTACCCGTTAAAATAAGTAACTGGTAGTGGTGACTTGAAAGGCATATCGAGTTTCTGATTTATTAATTCAATAGATGGTTTACGTTGCACATAATGATATCGAATCCGTTATTTCATATATTGAGCAGGTATGACTCATGCTGCAGCTGTGCGATAAAAAAGATAAAGATTTACCTTGCTTAAGTCATTCCCCGAAAGCTGCAGCTTTTGACTTATCACTCATCACACAACATAGCATAAACGTAAACCAGTTATCCGCTAGAATCTCGCTGACGTCCAGCTGTTCCTTTCTAGCTTTTCATTTGACATGTTTCTTATTTTATTATATGACCGTTCATGGCTCTGTGTATTTAAGTTCATCCTGCTTAATAGTTTCTTCTTGGGTTGATCGTTATAATTAGTCTAAATTATATGTAGTAGGAGTGAAAACATTGACATCTGTTTATTAAGAATAACAATATGCTTAAATCATCGCCCAAAAGCAGCAGCTTTTGACTTATCACTCATCACTCGACATAACTTAACATTGAGGCATTATTATTATTCCCTAACTTAGTATGCTAAGTAAACCCGTCATTCTATCCGCTAAAATCTCACTAACGTTTCACTGTTCTTGTTTACCTTAAATAAAGTTGTCATTTGGTTTGTCTCTTATTTTTGCTTCTTTAATCGTACGACAGTTCATGGCTATGTTTAATTTATTTTGGTATGGTTGATAATTTAATTGGTATGGTTAAAAGTTTAATAACATGGAGATAGTTTAATTTTGATTAATATATTTTGCCAACATTCTAAGCAGTATGACTGAGAACATCGACAGTTACTTACTAAGAATCACAATTTCTCGGACAATCGAAATCAATTTAAATAACAACTTGATTGAAACATTTTTCCTAATTTTTTAATCGATTACTAATTTAGCCAAAATACTGATTATAAGTTTACTTTATACGTATGTCAACTAAAATCTGAAGGTGAATGCAAATCGCATGATTATTTTCAGTAGTCCCAGAATAATAAATTTGTAATCCTTCAGAATGGACAACTTCCTCAAGGTAATAAATGAGCTACAGGACGTTTTTAGCACTGTTGGATCTTCTCCTGATTCAATAAAGCTACCCCAAATAGTGGTGGTTGGCTCCCAAAGTGCTGGAAAGAGCTCTGTCCTTGAGGGTATCGTTAGAAAGAACTTTCTGCCAAGAGGAGGTGGCATTGTGACAAGAAGACCTCTTATCATACAGATCACACAGGAAAATATTTCTAACCAATCCTGGGCATGCTTCCTGCACAATCCTGATAAAAAGTATACCGACTTTGATGAAGTAAGAGATGAAATAGTTGCTGAGACTGATAGGCTTTGTGGCAACAGCAAAAATATCCTGCCTGACCCCATAACACTGAAGATCTACTCATCGGATTTGCCAACCCTGACTCTCGTTGACCTTCCAGGGGTAGTCAAAGTTCCAGTTGATGGTCAGCCTGAAAATATTGAAGAACAAACAATCAACCTGGTAAAAAGTTTTGTGCAAAATCCTAACAGCATTATCTTAGCAGTTTCACCTGGTAATGTCGATCTTGCCAATTCTGAAGCACTTAAGATAGCAAGACAAGTTGATCCAGAAAGTCGAAGAACAGTAGCAGTCATCACAAAGGCTGATTTAATGGAAAGGACAACAGAAAATAGGCTGGTGCTGGAGGGAAAGTCTATTCCTGTAAAGCTTGGGATAATAGGAGTCATAAACCGGAGTCAGGCAAAAATAGATCAGGAACAACCAATAGATAAATGCCTAGAAGAGGAGGAGCTCTTCTTTAAGTCCCACTACCAATACATTTCAGGAGAAATGGGCACACCATACCTTACTAAAAGGCTGTGCAAAATACTGCTAGAAAATGTCAAAGAATGTCTTCCTGAACTAATAATCCGAATAACAGAGCAGAAGGTTCTCCAACAGAACATTTTAGACTCCCTGGGAACAAAGGTTGATGATCCCTTTGAGATGTTAATCCAACTATTATATAAGTTTTGTCAAACCTTTGACAGCAACATAGATGGAAAAGAATCTATCAAATTGCCTAATGGTAAAGAAATTTCTGGTGGAAGACATTTGTTTCAACAGTTTGAAAGAACGATTGGGACCGATTTAGAACACCTCATTCTCCCTGAGGATATCGAGCAGCAAATTGAGCAAGAAATCATGAGTTCATCAGGAGCAAAACCCGCGCTATTCACCCCAAATATTGCTTTTGAGAATCTGGCATCAAATCAGGTTCAAATTTATGTGAAACCTGTCAAGAAATCCATCAAGAAATGCTGTGAGACTATTACAGAAATCACAATGCAGCTCAGCAAACAGGTTTTCAAGCGCTTTCCCAACTTAAAAAGGGAGGCTCATCACATTTGCCTTTCTCTAATTATGTCAAAGACTCAGGCAGTGGAACAATTCCTTGATAACTACTTGAAGTGTGAGATATGCTACATCAACACAAACCACAAGCTCTTTGCAAAAGATAGACAAAGGATTGAGGTTGAGAGTTTAGATGCAGACGGCGAAAATCTCCCATTTGAAAAACAAAATGTGAAAAGGATAAGAGCACTGTTGGAACTTTATTCAAACATCATCAAAAATCAGCTGATGGACGTTGTCCCAAAGACGGTTATGAGCTTTATGGTTTATGGTTTCAAAGAGGACCTCCACAAAGAACTGATTAAAAGATTGGCCAACCAACAGAAAGTAGGAGACTTAATGAAAGAGGATGTCTTTATCGAAGAAAAGAGAGAAAAAGCTGCTAAGATGCTACAGGCTTTAGAGCAGGCTGATGCAGTGACATGCCTCCTTGATTAAATAAGACGACATTTGCATTTAATCTTGGAGAAATGATAAATTAACTGTGTATGAGACATATCACTGTAACATATGTGGCCATCTTTAAAGACTACCCCTGCCATGCCAATGCTATATATGGACCCCGTTCTAAAAAGTAAACAGCAGACGAAACATTTTGGACAAAACTTAAATTCATTCTAGAATTATTGTTGAGAAAAGACAATTTTTTACTTCAAATTAGAATTTGTGTAAGAGTAATTATTTTCTGTAAATTTGTACTAATTTGTTCTTCTTAAAATCTGTGCATACAGTATAAAACTATAGATAAAAAAATTAAAAATATACAAATTCTGGTTACACAATACACATTGTATTAGATGTTTAAAAAGAAATTCTAAGATGAAAAATTCATTCCTTTAAACGATGCAAAACAGTATAATTTATGCCCACTACAATGTGCAGTTTGACCTTTTATACCCAATTAAATAGACATCCGTTACAAATTATATTCGGATGGTAAATGAATTGTTTTTCAACCCAACGTATGGGTACTGACTTTGCCCCCCTAGTAGAGGCTCTTACGGGCAAAAAGATGTGTTTTCTGCTACGAGTTTAGAGACCTAACCGCTAATTGGACACAATAGTATGATGTCTAAGGATCGATAATATGTTAAGAAGTATAAATTTGGCCTTATTAGTTACGTGCTATACCAATGCGCGTTTTAAACTTTGACAGTCTATTACTCTAAGGCAAATAGAGTAATTATATTCATATTTTGTCAGCAATAAGATGACATTATTTTCTATTTGGTGTGAAAATATGAGCCAGAACGGACATAATCGCGCTGAGTTATAGCTGTTTGAAATTTATGATGAACGCGCGGGTGCCAATTGATAACAACTAAATGCTTTTGTGCGTAGTGCGCGTCGAAAATTTGGCAAAAACGCTTGCGGAGTGACAATATTCAAACTTCGATAAAGTATATGAAGTGGGTACTTCTCGGAAAGGAAAAATTTAGGCAAACACGATGTGACTATTTTTGGGTTGATTTAATACAACTGCAAAAAATTATTCAAACTTCAAGCAAAAAAGTCAAAATTTTTACCACTTTTTTGGGGTTTTGCCTGCACTAAAATAGAGGGATTTTTAAAATTTTTTATCCATCTTGTGCGGCTGTTTTTTAGCTACCTTCATGCAAATTTTGCCGAAATGCCAACAAAATTAACTTGTTCAAATTATCAAAAAAACATGCTTTTTTGGCCTATTTTTGGCAATTTTAACGATGCTAACTCAGTCCAATCATTTTGAAACTACTTTTAATCGATTCTACGGTCAAAAATACGTCTAGTAAGGTGTATCTGGGGTCCCTAGCGTATCGAGCAGACAATGCCCGTAAGAGCCTCTACTACCCCCCCCTCCATGTATAAGGAATACAAGTTTTTTTAAAGAACGAATAACGTTCCATATTGCATCTGTCAAATTTAAATTCGATATAAAACTTCATATTAGTGCTGCATGCTGAAAAATGTCCTGGGAATCAATCCACTCACTCGATGTGATAATAAATTTAAGTGTTCGGCTGGTTTTAGGCTTGTGTGTGTGTGTGCCCCAGAGGTGGTAAATTGGGTGCTAGTAAAGCTCTTACAACTGGCTCCTTTTGCCAACTGCGAATTTGGTTTAAGTACTGACCAATGTCTGGAACCGGAATGGGTATGATTGCAATTTCTCGCATAACAAGGTCAGCATGCTAAATTATCTAACAAAATTTCGTTCTCCTTAACGATATTCAAACTAGTTTAAGCGCAGAACTACGAGTCTTTCGGCGTAGTGCCGCGCATGTCATATAATAAGTTGCAACCAGCATGAGCAGCAAAAAAATTAAAAATCAATTTTTCTTTTGGAGGACTTCGCCGCTTCGACGCGCCGCGCGATCTAGCATTCTTGCTTTGCATCGAACCGACCGTCCATCGTTGCTTTGCTTCGCAAAGCAACGATCTCGATGGGTTGAGATCGTCAATCAATTTTTCTTATACATATTTCCAATGAACATATTTTCGGTTAAATATATATATTGCTGGAACACCACCAAAAAGCAGATGAAACTTGAAATATATGGGATTAGAGGAGTGCCACTTAAGTTACTGGAAAGTTACTTGTCGGACAGAGAGCAGTGTGTGTCCGTCCTGGGCGAAGTATCAAACAGACTTCCTGTTCTCTATGGCGTTCCACAGGGGAGCTGCCTTGGGCCTCTCCTGTTTTTAATATACATAAATGACTTAACAAACTCTCAACTCGATAACACTAGCTATGTCTTATTTGCTGATGATACAAACATATTTGTAGTTGCCAAAACTAGAGCAGAGGCCTTATAGTCAGGCTTCCAGGAATTTAACACCTAGTCAAAATTTGTTGATAACCGGTAAAAAAGATTCTTGTGGAAAAAATATTCACATTAATTTAAAATTAAATCAAAATTGGTCGCTCTCAGGGCTAACGCGATGTTACATCATTTTATCGACTCGAAGTTCGAATCGAGCGCATTCCTAGATTCCATGACTATTTCTTACCTATAAGATTGCTTGACTATTTTTTGCGCATTCAGACACCAAAAAACGCGCAGAAAACGCGAGCTATCCATTCCTCCTTCCTCAACATCCCGGAATATGAAAAAATAGTCATGTAAAATAGTCATTTGAAATAGTCATGCAAAATTTCAGCTCTGATACGCTAAAATATCAAGTTAATCTTAAACAATCGACAATTTAATATGAATCCTCCCAATCCTCCCAGCCATATTAACTGGTGAACGGTGTAAATATAGAGCGGTATTTTAAAATGTAGCATTCAAAATTTTATGGATTCAAGTTGGCTCCTTAGTCTAGATTCATTTAGAAAATTCTCGAAGTTCGAGTAATACAGTATTCTCAGGGTTTGGCGCTTAAGGAAGCTTCACATCCGAGACCGATTTCCACGAATCAATTTAATATTGTAGCTACAAGTCAACAACAGTGCAAGTGGGAAGGAAGTGAATCTAGCCATTGCTACTATATCAGGGGAACTCGTGTGTTCTAGGCTTAAGCAAGCTTCACATCCTAGATCATCTAGAGTACAGTGCAGACAACCCCCTCCATTATACATCCCTATCCCGCTTTAAGTCCGAAGTTTATCATTGTTTATTGTCCAATATTGTATCTAACCTGGCAGGAGCAAGCTTCAGATCCAAAGTCAGGCCATAAATATCGACACAAGGTCGAAGCCACTTTCAGAGTAGCGAATCGTTCATCAGGCTGATGAGAGACAGATCATAGAACTCGATCTACCGAGTTAGTATGAAGAATAATACGGAGACGTCTGTGGGCTAGGGTCTATACTTCTTTTAAAAAATATTTCCTTGCGTTTCAAATAAATTAAAGAATTCTCAGAAATTTTTTATTTAATTTCAAAATTTGCAATTGCATATTCATCCGGTAATTATTCTAATGGATACGCTAAGCATTTCAAACTAATCTTGACCTGGGAGAAGAGCTGACCAGTGACAAGTCGGCCGCAAAGCGGCCGAAAAATATATAGCCTTTTTTTCTTCCCAAAATGGATTCCTAGTCATATTTAAAATTTATTCCACTGGGGGCCTACAATAATGCTAATAGGGTCCTACGATCAGTCCACGAGTACACATTGGCTAATAAATTACATGTTAATGCCAAGAAAAGTTGCTATATAGAATTCAATACAGCTAAAAGAAAACTTGATGATCAATCTTTATTAATTGAAAATAGACTTTACCTCAATGGCCTATCTCTCTCAAAGGTGCAGGAAACGAAATTCCTGGGAGTAATTGTCGACGAAGGCCTAACTTTCAATCCCTATAGAGACAAACTAGTTAGAAAACTCTCATCCTGTTCTGGGAGGCTATACATGATTAAGGATAAAATTCCATCATCTATCCATAAGGACCTGTACCACACACTGTTTGAAAGTCACCTATCTTATGGCATTACCGTTTGGGGAGGTGCAAGTAATAATAAACTTCAACCACTATTTGTAGCCCAGAAAAAGTGTGTTCGTATCATGTTTGGTGACAAAAAAAGCATACCTTGATAAATTTATGACATGTGCTAGGACTAGACCTATCAGTGAACAGAAACTTACTAGCAAATTCTTTGAGAGAGAGCACACCAAGCCAATTTTTGCCCGTCAATCACTCATGACATTGCATAATTTATACGCGTATCACTGCTGCAATGAACTTTTTAAAGTCTTTAAGTATCGAACACCAATTGCACTATTTGAACTTTTCTGTTTGTCTAAAAGACCCGGCAAAGAAACTCTTCTTATAACAACCATGCCCTCAAACAGTTTCGTTTACAAATCTAGTTGCCTTTGGAATTCATTCCGTCAGATGTTGGCACTGAACGACCTTGAAATCACTCATGGTGTATTTAAATCAAAGGTAAAAAAAGTCATTCTCTCGTCTCAGGGTAAAGGTGACAAGAATACCTGGGCCCCTTTGGCAAACTTTCTGAACTCAGGCAGCTTGAACAACTAAATTTGAAAAAGTAAAACTTCTTGTCTGAATGAACCATTAGAACCTCAAGAAGCTGATCCGCATGTCTCCGCTACTAAAATGTTTAATGAGCCCAATCACTCATCACTTAACAGTTTAATCTTCAAAGTGAGTTGTACAATCTAGGTTGTTTTAAGTAGCTGTTGATAGACATACTGTTGTATCAACTGCAAAAAGTCTGGCTCACCTGATGATTTATGTAAACATGCTGCATTTTCTACTGAGTGTCCTTCTTACCGGGTTCAGCAAGAGAAACTTAAAGCCTCCCTATCTTATTATTCAAAAAACTAGTTTCCTCCAAACCAAAGAAATTGCATCAACTTCGATATATGATCTGGAATGCTAGAAGTCTTAATAATAAGTGTGACGACATTATGTGCTTACTTCAAGATCATGATGTAGACGTTGCTATTGTAACTGAAACATGGTTATCTGACCAAGCCAATACTACAACAGCAGTTATAAAATCATATGGCTACAGTATTGTTCATGATTTCAGAGCAAACAACAGAGGTGGTGGCACTGCTCTGATTTACAACATGGCATTACATTTCTCTGTTGTTAATTTGAAAGTTCCGAACCTGACAACCTTTGAATTCATCGCTGGATCTATAAAGTGCACTCCTGACATGAAGATCCTTGTCCTATGCATCTATCGAACTGGCCCTGTCTCAAAGAAGTTCTTTGAGGAACTTGAT